TACAGAACAAATTATTTACCTCTGAAAGCCATAAATCCCAAACAATCGATAATTGCATAATTAATTGCGCCGGAAATTACTTTTACTAACCAACTCATTCAAATAGAAAAAATTGTATTTCAATTAACATTCATATTTTCATGCAAATGCCGGCAATTTTAATCCCTTTTTTATCCAATCCTTGCGCAGGCAGGGCGGTATGTAGCTCGTCAATGTGTGTACATAAAGTATTTATCAGTGATGGAAAAGTATGCACGTAGGTACACTTGTAACAAATGCTACTTACTTCAATTTAGAAATCTCGATAAAGCCCTTCACAGTGGATGTATCCGTAATGTTGTGCATAATATAAACTGTAACGCCAAAGCCTTTTGGATTTTTGTAAATCAACAAAACTCGAAATCGAATATTTTGTTACAAAGGTAATCGCAGCGCTCAACTCTGCCACAGAAACCGATTCTGATGGTCTACCACATTCTCTGTTAAAAAACTACTTTGCTTTGATTTTATCAAACCCCTAACACATAAATATTACACCAATCTTGAAACTGGGAAATAAGAATGATATTACAAATTAGAGGCCAATACCGAAGGCGACCACTTATGCTAAACCATTTTAGTTTGTTGCTAAAGCTAAGATGTATTTTGCAGTTTCAAGTTTAAATTCCCCCGTCTCAGTATGGTTTTGTGAAAAAAGGATCTACTAAATCTAACCTTGCCATAATTACTGAGGATATTCTCACAAATTTTAAGGCTGCATTCCAAGTAGATGCCATTTATACAGGCTTCGTGTAAGCGTTCGGTAGGGTTTCACATACAATTGTGCTTAACAAATTAACGGCTTTAGGATTTCATTCTACTTTTCTCAAATGGATAGACTCGCACCTATTTGCTGGGAGCTGTAACGTTAGGAGTTACACACGGTTGTGTTTCAGGACTTCTTTCTTCGTTATTTTTATTAATGATATCAGTAATTGCTTTTTACACTCTAAATTGCTGCTCTACGCAGACGATATCAAATTCTACTTTATTATTTCGAAAGCGGATGACTCAGATTTACACAATCTTTTGAATCTGGAATGTCTGGACCCTTAATCGGGAAAGTACCTGGTTTATGTCCTCGTAGGGACAAAAGCTGACATCATCGCCTTCAAAGAAATGGGTTGGAAAGCAATGTCTGCGACTTGCGACGTCTACTGCTGCTGCCATGTAAAATAGCGCAAATTCGGTGTTGGATACGTGGTGGGAGAGAGACTCTATCGCCCAGTACGAACATCTAGCCACAATCCGTAAAAAAAATTCTGCAACATCTCGCTCATGTGCGCCCATGCCCCCACAGAAGAGAAGTACGAGACGTCCAAGGATATCTTCTATGAGCACATGGATTGTACATATGAGCGCGGTCCCGCCATAATATCAAAATGGTGCTGGATATTTCAATGCCAGGGTGGGCAAGGAAGGGATCTTAGGAACCACTGTCGGAAAATTCAGCCTCCACGACGAAAGTTCCGACAACGGACTGAGGGTGATCGTTCCGTAAAATAGTAGTATGCAGTACTAGGTTCAAGCATAAACGGATCCATCAGCATAACGGATCCAACGGATCGGTCATGTTGTGATAGACGGAAGGAACGGCTTAGTCTCTGACCTCATTTTACACAGCCGTATTAGTTTCGAGGGGATAGCAAATTCAGGCATCGTGGCGTATAGGCAACTCCTTTTAGTGATGTTGAAATCGGCTTTAAAGTCGATAAATAGTTGGTGGGCGTCGATCCTATTCTCTCGGGTCTTTTCCAAAATTTGGCGTATTGGTCTATGGTGGATTTGCCAGGTCTAAAGCCACACTGATAAGGCCCAATCAGTTCATTGCCGGTGGGCAGTCTCTCACACCATAAACTTGATAAGACCTTGTAACCTATGCTTAGAAGGCTGACCCCGAGGTAGTTGGCGCGTATGGCGGGGTCGCCTTTTTTATGGATTGGATAGAGCACACTTAAATTCCAGTCATTGGGCATGCCTTCATTTGACCATATTGTGTATAAGAGATGATGCATGCACCTTATTAACTCCTCGCCACCGTACTTGAATAGCTCCGCTGGCAGGCTGTCAGATTCAGCAGCTTTGTTGGAAAAGTGTTCCCTCCTTAATTGAAGTACTTTCTGAACATCGTTCACTAGGTCGCCACAGTCTTTAATCCCTCCATAAGTCGCCTAACTCTCTGATAAAATTTTCCGGCGTTTTCCTGTCGGCCAGCAACTCAAGCTCTTCGCACCCGAGTACTTGGGCCTCTCTCTTCTTATTGCTGCAAATAAGGCTATATCTTCCCATATATTTAGCTCGTGTTGTGCTCGATCGCAGCGTGGCTCAGTAGGCCATGTCTTTTTGCGCTACAGCTTCGTGACATTCCTCATCACACCAGTTGTTTTTTCGGGCACGCTGGAATCCGACTACGTCTTAAACGGCGGTATGTAATGAATGGCTAATAAGGCTCCACTGCTCGCGTACATATGTCTTTTTTTTGGATAGTGTGAAATCCAAGTGCCGAATACATTGGCTGTCTGTTGTGATTGCAACTTTTCGACGTTGAGCTTTACTTGCACTGTGGGACGCACATTATTCCCTCAAAAAGGCGGGTGGGTATCTTGGCGGCAACAGTCTGGTATACAGACATACATATTAAAACTCATACATACAGTGTTGGAAAAAATAATAGAAACTCACAGCTTTCATATATTTTTTATTGTTTGAAGAACTTTATCATTTTAAATACATTCCGATATCGTATATTTTGTTTACGTTAATTAGAATATAGACTTCTTTTGCAAATGCAACAAGCCATAAATAAATTGTGGCCCATTTTTTAATTTTGGCCTAGAAGAAATAATAGAAATAAAGTATTATTTGTAAATAAATTAAACTTTGACCCTGAAATTCTTACAAAAATATTATTATTTCAATAGTTTATTGAACCGCCGCCTTGCCTGATTACCTCTTCGCATATTCGGTGCATCGAATTAACCAAGTTTGCAACAAATACTTTTCGGAATGGAATACCTTGAGTTTAGAATGTGGCGCCACAATTCGTCTTTATTGCTGGCTTTAAAAGGGCCGATTCTCTTCTTTAAGTCGGCCCAAAGGTATTCCATGGAGTTGAGTTGCACTTTCTCCTTCTTAAACCGCTACTTTACCAGTTTCGATGCATGTATGGGATCATTATCCTGCAGTAACTCCCACCCCAATGGCATTTCCTCTTTAGCATAGGGAAACCTTATCGTCTGTAATATGTTTACATAGTCAATGGCGCACATTTTGTTCTTTATCCAAAATATTGGACCAACGCCTTCCCCCGGGAATCAGCCCCATACCATAATGGAGCCCGCGCTGTGCTTAACCGTTTTTTTCGTGTATTGTGGATCAAAGGCTGTGTTCGTAGGACGTTTTACGTACTATTTTCCATCTGATCTAAATATCTTACTTTTTGTCTCATCAGACTACAGCACATTTTTCCAATTTCGACGCATAAGATGTTTTCTGGCAAAAGCAAGTCTGTAGTTTTTGTTTTTAAGGCTCAGCAACGTTATCTTTATAGGGATTCTGGCTCGAAGTTTGGCTTCTGCCAATCTGTACCTAATGGTTCGGCTTGTTACACCGAAATTCAATTCTGTTTTCAGCTATCTTGTGGACAGAAAAGGGTTAACTTTGCAATGTCGAATAAACGCCTCTGATCGCCAGCAGTCATTTTTCGTTTTCTACGTCGTGTTTCTGGTTTTTTACGCTATAAAGGACAGTGAACACCTTCGTTTTGGAACAGTTCACCATATCAGCTATCTTACTCATCGCATTTCATTGTTTTCTTAAACTTATTATTAAATTTTTCTCCTCTGCCGTGCAGTGTTTAGCTCGGCCTATTTTATTCTTTTTTATGTTTTAATAACCTATAGTATAACTTTACTTTTGTTAAAATTAAAAAAAAACGCGTCAAAAGTAAATAATTTACCTTTTAAAAAGCAACAATATCAACAAACACGTTTTGTTTCTATTATTTTTTCCAAGCGCAACCATTCAACTGTTCACTCTCTTGCACATAAAGTGAAAACGAGACAAACTAACGGTATAAAATGTTTGGCAAAAGAACATCCCCGCTAACTGATATTTATACAGGGTGTGCCATTCCAAGAAATATATTTAACTTTTGTTGTTTTGTTAATGTTTTTTATTTGTTGCTGCGCAGGTAAATAAACAAAAAATCCCCTGAAGATGCTAAAAATCTTAGCGAAACGTCGTGAAAAAGCTAAATAAAGTCTTTTTATTTGCGTAACGGTTAGATCGGAAAAGCCTAAAAAATATTACAATTTCAACTAAATTAAACTGATCGGAAAAGCAAAACAAATATAGTGTTGATATAATTGATTTAATATTTTTCAATAAGTTGTTTCTATTATTTTTCCAACACTGTACATATATATGGCGTATTTTCACGGGGCATTACTTTTGAGGTACAATAATTTTGTTCTAGGTAAAATTTTTTCCGCAAATGAGGCACAATTTGAAAATTTGATTTTCCATCTCTGGTATGGTATATATACATAAGAACAAAACGATAGGCCGAGGGATGCCTGCTCTCGAAATTATTTTTCTTCTTCTTCTTATTTGGCGCTGTAACCGCCTAAGCGATTTT